CAGTGATCAATTACAATAGAAAACCCAAGAGAGAGGCAATAGGTCGTGATTTAATTAGCATTAGGACACTATTTGACCAAGGGATATGAAATCGGACTTTGAAATATTTTTCACCTCATATTTCTGGTATTAATTTATGTGAGGAGCAAATATCACAAACCCCTAGGAATATTACAGGATGGATAAAGCGTGTTACTTCTCTAGTGAATCACCTTTGGTGATAAAAGAGGAAGACGATCCCAGCATGTGTGATACGTAATTTTGTAACAAAATGGCCCGAGTAACATGCAGCCCGAAATGCACCTGAGATAGCTATGCCCTGTGTTGCGGTTTAAGGCATCATAAGGATGTGCAGCGTAACATTTCCAAAATGAATTAACACAGGTAAAGAAAGGCTTCAAATAGTAAAACAAACAACAAGAACACTTTGTGACAAGTAAAAGTCCAGCTATTTACAGGTGGATAACTTCGGAAAAGTGCAAAGTTCTAAAATGCCAAATGTTCCATGTGAATTTCGGTACAACTGAAATGAAATAATATACAATGTTCAAACGAAGAAAATCAAGACGAGGGTAGAAAGTGAACCGCCTCGAGAAGGAACAGAAACAGTTGACATTTTGTGAGCACTAAACTGCGTGTATATTAAGTGCCCTGTAACCACACGTTAAAGAAAAAAGCAAACGAAATATAATTGAATAAAATTTTGTTGTCGTTTAAAGCCAAACTTTAGGAAAAACCCTACTGCCTAGTGATGACACAAGTAAACCCCTGACCCCAAATAAACGCATTGGAGGGTTTCCTATCCTGATTATTAAAGCGTAAAATCCCGCAGTAACGACAACTTAAGACCATTAAATACTGAAACATGTGTTAGAAATAAAGCACTAAAGGCAGTGTTTCCACTAGTGTACGAAAAATCAAGCGGAAGAGTAAAAAACGACGTGTGGTTTTACAACAGGAAAGTTAGTTAATCAGACAACAATGGCTGTTAAATGACGTACACGTAAATGTTCAAAAAAATACTCACAATAACGAGCAGAACTAGAGTGATCTACTTGACGGAACTTTTAGTGATATGCTTAAGTAAAGACAAGTTATCACAACTATACTACTAAAAGCCAAGCACCACAATGCCTCGTTTTTAACAAAACAAGTTTATCTTGGACTTGCCATTGGTTAGACAAAGGCTTTTGAATCAGCCTGTGTAAGCTAATTGACCGGCTCTTCAACTAAATATTACTGTGCGAAGCTCCAGCCTCCCGAACAAGACGGATAACATGCAAGACGACTACATGAATTAGTAGCTGAAATTTATCAGCCTCTTGGTTGAGCTTCGTGTACACTTTTTCCGACTTCTAAACAGTTATAGAAGTAACTGACAAACACGTAATTTTATCTGGAACGGAAGTTTTTCTTATTTGCTTAAGTGAAACCAATTCATAACATTTATAAAAACTGCAAAACTGTAAGTCTGGTTTGTGCAGTCCCTGTCTGATGGTTTTTATTGGATAAAAAGTTCCCATTTTTGCGGCTAAGCTTAAGCGCTCCCTCCATGAGAAGTCAGTGCGGCAAGGAAAAGTGCTTCCTCTGGTAGCTCAGAGTAACTAGTGCAACTGGACATCTCTGTCAAACAAATAACAGAAACGCACACTTGATAAGGTACTAAAACAACCCACTTTGATGGACAAGCCGTCAAAGCTTACCTTGACACAGAAGTAAGGTGCCTACTTCTGAATCTAGCGCAAGAGTGATATACACTAGCCAAAATCGGGTTTTTATTAAGAATTTGCGTTGTAATACACTCTAGAGTACTAAAATACGGTAAAAGCGTGTTTTCTGTGTAGCCTGAGACAGCAAAGTGTACGACAACTAAAGCAGATTACTTATTCTAAGTTATGTGGTCTTTGGGCTGCTGATAATTTGAAATACACCATTACTCTTGCTTACCCATGGACGGATGAATTGTTTTGCGTCAGTTTTACTTTTCTTCATTCTTCGCGCTCCATGATTTTCCTTAAGTCTTCTTTTGTTGAGGTGGAGGATGCGTGATTTATGTCTGCTAGCAAGTGTGCTTTGCTAAGGAAGGTTCTATTTCAGTGCATTTTCGCCTAAACCTTCCTCTAAAAACTTGAAATTCCAAAAGTTGCCTTACATTTGTAGGCTTTTTCCTGAACGCCTATCTTTAGTACATTAGCTTGGCGGTAGAAATATACTAGAACTTGCGATCTCTGTCGGCGCCTTGGGTTTTCTTTATTGCGTACCGAAGAAACAAACCCCATATAACCGAAAACTGTGTCTTGCAGTCACAATATGGTCGTATGCTTATCAATATCAAATTAACAACTGATTTCTTGATGTACTCTGAGCTAGTCAATATGGAAAACGTAAGCGTTCTTTACCAAACTGTTTGTAGTATTCCGCGACAAATCCCATGAAGTGCTTTTGAAGATTTAAAATTTTGATCGTGTCTGCTAGGTGAAAATTTGCTTGCAATAATACCTCGAGTGTGATAAGTCTCCTAAACCAAAGTAAATGATATGCAACAGTTTATTTTTTTAACGCTAATGCCTGACAGGTTTGACCAAAACTGTTGTTTTTATTGTGTAAAGAACGTTTTTGTCGTTTGCGAGGTACCGTTAACATAACTACAGCCCCAAATGTAGTCGTTTGAAATTTAACATCAGTGAGCTTAAAAATCGTATAATCCAAAGAGGACATGAAAGCCACAATACTGCCCAGTCCTAGAAGGGAACATCCATAATCCTCTCTACCTGAATGAACCACACTCAGTAAGAACACACCCCAAACACGACAAATACAATGCTTTTCCACTACACACGAAGACTTCAAGTGCGACTTTCGATTCGTCGGCTAAAACGACATATATCAGATGCTCTGCGAGTTAAGTCCTGCAGATTATTCTTGATGATACACCCAGAAGCAAAAAACTGGTCATAATGTTATGACGCCCGCAACATTTTCAGCAAAATTCTTGTTATTTATGTATCAATTAACAATTATTATCAAACTTCCCCAGACTGTTCATAAAACACCCGGTTGCTATCTTCACCGCAATTGTATGCATCGCACCAAAACATCGGTTGGCTATCTATGTTAGATCGCGATTTACCCAACGACGACTTGCTTAGTCAAACAAGTGAACTTGAACTTAGGGTTGGCATTTATCTTGCATGTACTGTTATGATAAAGTATACTTTGTCCGTCCGTTGCAAAAACCGCTAAACAAGTGAATAGTATTAGTGAATTGTACCCTTTAGGTCTGTCATATAGTATAGCTTTTTGTTTTTCGTATTTATCCATTTCTAGTTCTGGGTATCACTACAGTTTTTCACCACACTGTACACTGAATCCCATTGTTCAACATTTCTGCTGTCGATATGATGGTAAGGAGAAACGTCAACTAGACACATTATACAGAAATAGGAACGAACATGAGTTTGATCGCCGAAAACCTCCGTTCTTTACCAGTGTTACATTTAACCGCCTAGTCACCTAGTGTCTCTCTTGCTGTCTTCTGTGTTACGTAAATTTCAAGTAACTGGTTGAAATCTATAATCGTGTTAGAGCATGGGTCGGTTGGTTGGTATTTTTCAGCTACCCATTCAGCACGCATACCCTCTTGGGTGCAGAACTTGTGTGGACTATGTGCAGAACTTCTGCACTAATTTTTTGCTTTTAAGCCGCGGACATCAAAACTTGGTAGGCATCGAAGCTTCTTTATTTGTCTTGCAGTAATGAAAAAAACCACAATACCCTGTAATTCCGGGTCCATACGGAATGCAAACGGTCGACCAATTTAAGTGGTTTTGTTTTAGTGTACGGCGCAATTGCTCGCGGGAAGCTCTGCGTTCCGCTTGTCCTCACGTGCGGCTGAGAGTGAGTGTTGTTGTGCTGGTGTGTTTACGTGCATGAAACCGCAGAAAATATTTTCCATTTCAAGCAATCGTCAATGCGCCTGAAATTCGTTCGTGTTGTTCGTAAAGGCTCTTCAAGTACAACGCTATATAGGAAAGTAAGACAGGAGGTTGTGGCAAGTGGCTGTTTTCGTTGCCCGACTGATGAATGCGTCCATAATGCCTTTAGTGGAATGGAATCTCTGAGGGTAAGGTTCATAATTAATCAGACGATGGGTTCTACATATGCCGCATTTGACCGTCCCAGGGGACAAACTGGGTTGTGAGTTACCAGGCTATTCCCCGGCGGCTTCCCGATCCCTGTAATCAGGACTTTGGGACTAGAAGGACCTTCACTATTGTGGCCTCAGAGAACCTTCCGGTTACTGCAGACAACCCAGGTTTTAGCCGTAAGACAGCCCTCTTCAGGTCGTTGAGGGGATCAGCCTGTATGTTTTGTTAACACTCATATTGCTTTCATCAGTATCCTTTTTAAACCATTCACGTGGAAATATTTTAATGGCTGTTCGTCGGATTACGCGAAGGCTGAACCTACCTAAATCTTGTTTAGTCGTTGTGTTGGACGAACTCAGGTACTTTTTCCGTCTCTTCCGAAGGATCTACGGACCGTAATGAAAACTCCCCGTCGTTGCTGCGTGCGACAGAAGGCAGGTGGGATGTACACACACCTGTGGTTGAAAGCAGGTTTGCTGCGACAACTATGGCGACAAATATCGATATTCAAATGAACGTTAATGGTATTCGGGCCTACAACTCGCGTACTCAGATGTTGCCTATACTCTCCCGCATAACCCCCTTTTCTCGGTCAGCCCATTGCCCTTGAAGTATACTGTGGTAATCAAAAACCCAATAAAACGTATATANATATATACGCACCAGATATCATGATCAAGCCTACTTTTAAATGTGAGGACGTTTGCCACGGATTACTTGTGCGTACCAGCGCAAGGTTTTGTCATCCATGACACTGTTACTTGAGACATGAATAAAGGTTCACATAACCCGAATCCGCTCAGTGAATTTGGGATGGCGGTTAGATCATATTCGGGTGTAAGAAATATACTAGAGCCAAACTGAAATCGGATTACCTACCTCGTCGGGTCTCCCCGAATTGTCCTTCCGCAACGTTGAGCCATCAAATGATATACGACTTTCGCTCAATGAACGCCTTCTAACAAATTTAAAGAGAATAAACCACCTCACCTAGCGTTTTTCTTATAATAACTGATAGAATCAACAAACGACTTGGCTGAGCTCGGTGTGTCACAGCTGAAAACATGTAGCTCGTTGATTCTGTCTTTCAGTTGAACCAAACGGAAAAAGACCAGATATTTGAAGTCGAAGTTGTCCAGTGGATTCAGAATGGCGGCTTGATTCTTCACTCCGCTCCATTCAAATGACTCAACGGTTTCCTTCAAATATGAGTATTTGGAAGCGCACTCCTACTTTTGTTTTTTCAAGCTTCACTCTCATTCCTCGTGCATCCATTTTAACCGCACATGAGACTTCCTCGATCTTTTTGGATTCCTGAAGTGCCGTAGAATGTCGCACGACATCTTCAGGCTTAAGGGTTTGTTCCCCTTCAACAAAGCTCGCAATATGATGTATTTGAAATGTGTTCTGTATTACAGCACTGAAGTGACAGCCAGATGTTCTTTACTATTTATACTTACTCTGAATAGTCCTTACTAACCATTTCCCAAAGACCTCAAATTACCGCCTTCCATGGGATGAACCACTTGATGTGTTCTTGATGCTTTCAAACAATACGATGACTAATAACTGTTGTGGAATTTTAAAAGGTTGTTTAGTGCGGTGGGTCCATACCACGGTAATAAACCCCGTGCTCCCGGTTTCGGACCACTTGGGTAAAGTTTCTGCTTTCAGCATTGGTTTGAATTACAACATGTGAAGTATCTATGCGCCAGTAGATCACCGACGGAAGGATTGACACGGATGGTCGGTGCTTTTCTCGGGCCTCCCAGATCGGGTTCGCTCTTGCCGTTAAGCAATCAGTGGACTGGGACTCTCAGACTCGTCGTACCCATAAAGTGGCTTAGGAAAACGGATGTGGCCTCACAACCTGGAATGCGATTTCAGCGAAACCTACATATTACTAAAGATCTACGTTTAAGTAGATGCTGCCTATATATTGAATGTAATTTTTCCCAAGTGAATGATAAACGAAGAGGTAATAATATCAACGGAGCTAGCTAGAGTAAAGCTAAGCTAAGCTTTCATTATATATTGAGACTGAAGTGGATACCACATTCACTGAAACGGAAAGCGTAAAGGCATTAGGATACTGCCGAACACTTGAGTAAAAACTTGGGCTAATACAATGAATTTGAGCAGTTTGTTACGAAACGAAGCCTCTATGAACAAGAACAAATTTCCGTATGCCCATGACTTCAGTCGCCAGTGCAGAAGACTATCTGGGGAACCATTCTTTTGTGGATCGTGGGAGAGAATAATGATGCCCTCTTGGGACTGGGATCGAAAGGTTTTATAATCATAGAGGGGATACACATCCAGGTAACTCTCCTTTAGGAAGAATATGCTTAGCGTGGAAACCTTTTGAGTAGCAAAATTTACTAAAGAGGAGCACTGGATTCACAGTATTAGGTTAACAATTTTATAAAAATATTGCAGTCACACAAAGAGGCCAGGCTCCACTGGCTAAGTGGACACCATGAAAGTAAATATTGAGTGATAAAATTGTTTTGATACACTGGGTGTGCATAAGTATTTAAGTGTCCTTTCTGAGGAAGAGAAATCTAATTTGAAGGAATTCTGGGAATCATCAAGAGGCGAGGCCCATATTGTGGCCAGAAATGAGAATGGACTGTTGTCAAGGTCTTCCAGATTGGTGGAGTGTGAACTATTTCTCAAGAAAAGGGTATAAATACTGTTCTGTAACATGTGTGAACGAGTGCCAAGTGCAGCTCTGCGGGTCGTGAACTTCGATATCACACAATCAGTCTACCGGCGGGAAGGAGTTCCAACAAGTTCTGAGGAAAACCACAAACGGCGTCTCAAAATTTGTGTTCAACTAGACTTCTGTTAGATGAACTAGGCTGACTGGAAACTGTTTCGCGGACCCCTCAGATTCAGTAGTGTTGGCTGGAGTAAAGAAAAAGACCAGAACTCTCGTATTCCCGCCTGTTGATTACCCATGTGGATCAGTGGCAGTCAACGATTATTTTTCCCATTCTCTCTGACTATCAAAGTGTAGCGTGGTCTACCCTTTTCACCACAATGACCTTTGGCCTACCCTATCATGTTCTACGTGTTTTTGCTCCTTCGGAAGCTTTCCGCAACCCCTAGTAGCTGATGCCCAAGCTTTGCCGCCTGTTTTTCTTTGGTCGCAATTTCATGTCACCTGTATCTGTTCCTTAGTGCCTACTCCGACAAAAAGTGGACGCCTTTACCGTCACAAGCAAAGCCTATATACTCGCACATGGGCGAGCCATCCGCTGCATCAATTCAACTTTGTCTGAGATGCTACAACCTAAGACCAGAACTCTCGTATTCCCGCCTGTTGATTACCCATGTGGATCAGTGGCAGTCAACGATTATTTTTCCCATTCTCTCTGACTATCAAAGTGTAGCGTGGTCTACCCTTTTCACCACAATGACCTTTGGCCTACCCTATCATGTTCTACGTGTTTTTGCTCCTTCGGAAGCTTTCCGCAACCCCTAGTAGCTGATGCCCAAGCTTTGCCGCCTGTTTTTCTTTGGTCGCAATTTCATGTCACCTGTATCTGTTCCTTAGTGCCTACTCCGACAAAAAAGTGGGACGCCTTTACGTCACAAGCAAAGCCTATATACTCGCACATGGGCGAGCCATCCGCTGCATCAATTCAACTTTGTCTGAGATGCTACAACCTAATACACTTATATCGCATTTCATCTGATGGTGCTTAGTTGAATTTCATTCTGAAAATTTACGAGGGCGCGTTTCACTTACAATATTGCAATGCTTCCCCGACGCGCTGTCAGCTCGGGACCGTGGGCAGGTTCTGTTTGTGCTGAATTCACTCGGTACCCCTTCTCAAGACAGTTTCTGTTTACTCATGTTATAAAAACACCTCTGCATCTTTGTAAGCAACTTATTTACACTTGTCAATCAGCCTGTATGACGTTTGACAATTATTTGTCAACATCTGTTCGGAGCTCCATCGCCTCACTGCACCATTTTCTTCTACCAGCTGCGATATTGCTAATCGTACCCTCTACTGAAATCGTGATGTTCTACCACTCACCTGTATTTGGAGTTGTTTGATACAGTTTGCAGGGCTCTCGTCCTTCTGCTCCCCGTGTGTTTACTCAATAGGAACTGCTTATTGTCTGATAGCTCCAGTTGTACTGTAATATCTTTGGTCAAGCGAATGCTACAACCATTTCTACGCTGCGTGGGGTGAAGTAGTATCAACCGCAAACAATGGAAAGTAACGAAGGCAGACTGTACAACACTGACCGGAGAGGCAGTATGCGACAAGTTGTGTACACTTGGAATGGAGGACATTTAGAAGTGAGTTAGAAGTAAACAAGTCATTACAAGACCACGACTTTCATGAAAGAATTGTGTGTTATAATCATTCGGATCCCTGGTGCGACCAACGCTTGCGGTGAAGCTTCAGCTCAGGAATTGGTGAAATTCACCGATCAAATTTTTTGTTGCAAAATTCAGAGGATATACATTTTGCAAGCTCCGCAAACCAAAAGACCTGCCATGTGTAACCATACGACGAGACCTAAAATGAGCGTGAATGATGCAGATACCCTAAGAAGTTCCGGTTTCATGGTCCGAAGTTTATTCTTCTGTCTTAAATCGAAGAGGACAGAGGGTTGTAAAAATCGACCTAAAGTGAATGAGGGCTGAGCACTCATCCAGGAATTTGATCATATTGAGCTCGCTCATAAACCTTCCGAAATAATTTACACGGAAAAAGCCATTCTTGGCCAAATAAAACCTCACGGAAGATGGACTCAGGCTGCCTAAGGCCCAGTGGGCTTTTCTGAGATAATGTTAGGATGTATATTAATGATTAAGTAAAAGTTTTTATGCTAAAGTGGAAGGTGTTACCTGGAATAGCGCGGTAAAAAGGAGGTGTCATAAACAGCGGGAATTATTTGGTGTAGATGGCACTTCAAATGGCATGAGGGTAGCACAAGTACTGGTGCTTTTTTCTTTTGGGAAAAATGTCCAGCAGAAGCAAGGTCAGAACGTTAAAATCTGAATATGGCGGCCAAAACAAAACGAGGGAGAGCAAAACGAAACGCATCCTACCTGACAAAAGACAAGAAAACTGTAAACTGCTAAAAAATGAGGCACCAGAACAGCGGATCTGGTAAGGCAGAATAGTTGGCACAATATAGCCAGTCAATTTGAACTGCGAATTAGGACCACCGATGGCCTTAACCTGTTGGGCTTATGGACAAGGTCACAAAGAGCGTGAGTGGTGATGATGAAGCGGATGGATTAGCAATGCAGATTAACGGTATCAGGAATCTCAGAATGGCGGTTTATAGCGAAACATTAGAGATTCAGTGGTGTCACCGTTGTAGGGGAATTAGTTGCGAAAAAGATTGGGAAGAGTGAATCAGTGACAAAACACAAGCTGGAATGTAAACTTTATGAAATTTATTGACCTCGTTGTGCACAGAGTGAAGGACGACCAGAATGGTCAAATCAGAACGAAAGATTTAGCAGAGTAAAGTGAAAGCGTCCTAGAAGTGGTTTGGGCTAGGTTAAAAGTTTGCTCGTATTTAGAGTTAGTGAAACGAGTGTGCGAAAGAGTGAGGTCAATGGCAGGAAAAGAACAGTTGTGGCTGTGAGGGATTAGTTGCGGGTGCCTTTGTGATCATGCCCAACTGTATCCACCAACCAGCTGGGAATGAGCAACATCACTATTTTTGGAAAAACAAGCTGAATCAGTAAAACTTTGTGAACGTTTAAAAAATAATGCGTGAAGTCTTTCGGGAAATTAGATGAGAAAGTGTGAAAATGACCAGGGCTGATGATCTCCAGCCAATGCCAGAAGCAGACCTTTGTCATGAGACCAGATTGTGCAGCCGTCTACAAATTAAAAATCATCTGTTTAAAGGAAGTTTCCTTTGAGCCAGATTAATGTACAGCAATAAAAGTATAAAAGGCATACTCAAACTCGTAGAACTTCGCTGATTGCGTTGGAAACCAAGAAAGAGACATAATAGTTTGACCGCTGGTGTAGCTGTCGAGCTACTATCATAATTACCGAAAAACTGAGGGATTCCCACACGTGTTTTAGACTATCATGAAGAATTTTTCGTGTGTTCGGGAGACCTACAGCATGAACTCTACCCACTAATCACGTTGAGATGGCTTGTCTGAAGGTGAGAGGTAAATTGAAGGCTTCGAAGATAATCAGTTTAGAAAGCATCAATGCAGCTAAGATACGCAAGAGATAAAAAAAGGGATTCACCTGGTCATTAATTTGTTTCCACAGGGAACGGAAATGAGCGTTGGGATGACAGCCGTGTGAAATATGCTGGTTACCGCTTATACATGTCAGATAGATTACCACCTAATTTAAGTAAGCGAATCAGTCATACACTACGCCTAGTGTGAAAAAAGCGTGATTTCCTCACAATTCTTGCATTATTTTATTTCAGGCCTGAGGGCGCTAGGTTAACAAAAACAGGCCTTTT